TCCTCCCCCAGGCCCCCCACATCAGGCAGGCTAAACACGCAGAGGCTTCTGTCTCCAGGGCTGGAGAGAGGCGCCCTCGTTAAAACTCAGATAAACAGTTTATCAGGAGATGAATGAGCCACTGGGCTCCAGAGACGTCTCCCCTTCCCCAGCGTGGAGCCAGATGGGGAGGGGGCACTGGCGGAGCAGGAGCCAGACTGGGGAAGGGAAGGGGCTGTCGGGGCTGGGATGAGGCAGCCGGGACTCCTTTCCTCCTTTGGTCTTAAACTTGGGCTCTGTTTAAGGAAAGTATTTCCCAGTTATTGACCTGTTCTCCCTCCCCAGCCTACATTTTGGTGTTATTCCTCACCTTTTTCTTTCCTATACTCACCTCTCTTTTCCTCCTGCTCATACTAGTTCAAACTTTACTCTTGCATGTAGAACCCCATAACCAAAAGGACACACACACACACACACACACACACACACACACACACACACATTCATAAAGTATTGTGGCTCTCTCCTTGCTGTGAGGTCTGGCCTGGCCAAGGCCCCCAGCACCCTGGAGGTGCCACCTCCACTCTCCCCTCCGCCTGGCAGTGGAGAGAAATGTGAGGAGTCATGGACTCTTGGACTCTTCCCTCCGCTAAGCTAGGCTGAGTCCAAACAAATCATTTCGTTTCTCAGGAAAAGAAAGTCTGCCCAAGTCCATTTATGGGACCTGTCACACGATCAGAAGCAGGAAGAGGTGACTTTTAGATAGCAAGGCTGGTGCTGAACGTAAAAGATGTCCGTTCCTGATGGCGCCTCATGGTCTCCTGACTTCCTGCTGTCAGGGGCCCAGTAGAAGTGAAATGACTCTCTGAAAGCCATGTATGTGACTGTAGGGTGCAGGTACCCTCACATCAAACCCCAGGCCCTTGGGAGGATGAAGAGGTGAGGAAAGCTGCCCTGTGGCCCCTCCTGCCTGGACCTGAAGACCTCAAATCTGGCCATGATTTTCCTTGCACGGGCATTTCACAGGGACAGAGCCAGGGAGACCTACCCACCCACGCATTAGAGTCTCCGCACCGGCCCTGATGGTCACAGCCATCCTTACTCAAGTCCAAACACCCCACAGCGAGGACTGCTCGGAGAGCTGAGCTCATAGCCACTTCTGCCACAGCCCACCTCCCACGCCATGCCTTCATTGGGAAACAGCGCAATCTCTTTTGTGCTGCCTGTCTAGCTCCCTCTCCAACAGAGCCACAGAAACATTGGGCAGTGTGGTTACTGACTCTTCTCAAGCAATTCCAGCCCCTCTTGCTGCAACACCCAGAGACGGTTTGGTGCATGCACTGAAAGCATGGACACCAGGCCCAAAGGCATGGAGTTGAACTTAGCAGCATCCCCAATCCTTTCACCCCTCTTGCTCTACCTGGGATGGTTGGTGTTGGTGAGCTTTACCAAAGAACTGATGCTTGTTAAAAGATTATTGTCTACCATAAGCCCTGCCCCAGACCCTGAGGCAGGCCATAAATTCTCTACCTGCCTCAGACAGCAAGCGGCTATGTGATCCCCAGCTTACAAAAGACAGAGTAGAAGCTTGCAGTGGTGGCTGTGTATATGTGTAGCTGGTCACAGTGGTGCCAGAATTCCAACCTAAATGCAACTGGCCCAAAAGTCATTTTGGTGGGGGCTGGGATTGTGCCACAGAAGGTGACACCACTACCTGCTATGCCAGCAACCTGTACCTGAGAGCTGAGGCAATTGCTAGGAGCTCTATTTTCAATCCAGCTTCCTCCTTAATGTACCCAGGAAGGCAGCCAAGGACGATACAAAGGACCAGTCCTCTGCTGCCTCTGGGGGAGACTCAGATGGAATTCCTGGCTTCTGACTTTGGTCTGGCTCAGGTCTGACTACTGAGGCCACTTGGGAAGTCACAGTGGATCCAAGATGTCTCTTTTGCTTTTTCTCTCTTATTCTTTCAAATAAAAAATCCTCTTGGTGCTAGGATTCACCTGTCCGTGACATTCCTCCCTCCGTTGCCCAATTGCTTGGCTCCTCCACTGTCACACAGTGCAGTTTTTAATGTAGGTTCACCCTATGCCTTCTTCTCTCCTTCTTTTCTGACTCAGAGAAACACACACATCTTTTTCCTTCATGGGGCTCAGCTAACTTTTGGCTCTCCTGTTCAGACCTTAGCCTGTTGAGCCTCTGATCCAACATGGACCACATTCACTCTGCCCCTAAGTGCAGGTGCCACCCCTCACCCTGGGGGTCAGGGCAGGGAGCCACAAGCTCCTCAAGTGTGCCATTTCAGAACTCGATCATGAAAGGGGCTGGGTATAATTGCTCTGACTTCTTTTTGCTCCTCACAGTGCATTAGAAAATGTCAAACAGTCTACGGCCATACCACCCTGAACGCGCCCGATCTCGTCTGATCTCGGAAGCTAAGCAGGGTCGGGCCTGGTTAGTACTTGGCTGGGAGAAAATGTCAAACAGCATTCAGAGAAGAGATTGAAATTCTCATATCCATCAAAAGGGGGCATGGGTTTAAAAGGAAGCACTGGCCTGCCCCACCATGGGAACTTACAGATTGTTTTTCATTTGTTCTTAATATTGGTTTGATGTTCCATGTTGTATCCCTCCTCATGGAAGTCTTCAGGGGTGGAAGTCAAGTTCTGCCTCCTTGGCATCTCCCTCAATCCAGTCTTCATCCCAAAGCCCCTCCGTCTACAGGTTGCCCCATCTATATCATGCCCGGGGGACCTCTTTCAGGGCTCAAATCTCCACAGCCTGAATAAAGAACAAAAGGCTTTGCATTGCTTTGCAAACTAAAAACTAAGTGACCTGGAGAAGATGGAGAGCAATGAGACAAAACGTAGTACAATAAACTGGCAGACAGGAACTGTCTGTCTCTGAAGGGCTGGACAACAACGTAGCCCTTAACCTCTTACCTGAAAAAGTCATTCAGTAGAGAAATTTGCAAAACCGCTTCATAATAAACTACCTGAGACCCCACACAGCCATCAGAGAGGAAAGAGTGGGAGGGCTGAACCACATGCCAGGTGCCATTTGGGCATTACTTCAGAAACAGCCAAATTCCAGGAACCAGGAAGCTGTTCTTGTCTCCACAATGCAAGATCTGCTTTGGGGCAGGACTTTGAGAATGGAACCCCAGAGGTGGTCCAGATGGGGAAGTCGGGGTAGGAGCTTCCCACCTGCTGAACTGGGCAACAATGTGGATAAATTTGAGGGGGTGGAGGGAAGCTGATGTGGGAAAGGGCAAGGTGAAAGGAACAACCAGCCACCTCCCACCAATCCGGGGAAAGCATGTGGGGTGATGTGGACTGTCATGGTAGGACCCCTGCCTGGTTCCCACTCCTGGGACTACTGGCAAAGACTTGGATCACCCATTCCAAGTGTGTCTTCTTCAGCTTTTCCCAGGCACTAGTCACCACAAAGGAAACTGAGGTTGGTTTTCGAAGCTTAGGTTCGGTTCTCCATCTAGGGACAAATAACTGGAGGTGTTGGTCCACAGCCCACGTCCTCTCTGTGGGATACAGCTCCTGAAAGATACAATTGGGCACAGACAGCTTTAGAAGGGTAAGATTAGAAAGAAATGGGAGTGAGGTCCGAAAACAGAAACTAACGCATTCCGCGCCCAAACTAGACAGCCCGACTTTGCCCAGGCGGACCCCTGGCCAGCACTCTGGCCTCATGCCACCAGTTCATCTTGTAAGTCACCAGATGCAGAAGGTGCGGCATTTGCTCTCAGGAAACTGGAAGAGTGCAGGAAGCAGCCACGGGCTTCTGTTTACACTGAGGCCCTGGGGAGCTTGGAGACAACACTCAGAATCAAAACGGGCCCTTTGGCACACGCAGGTAAGGACGGGGAAACTGAGCCGAGCAAGAGTGGGCAAAGGTCCGAAGTCCATCCGCGCCAGGCGCAGGGCTCGCAGCGGGCCAGCAGAGGGCGCGCCGCCCCCAGGGAGCAGAGTGGCGGCCGCACGGAGCCGGACGGGCGAGCAGGACGCGCCCCTTGCGGCCCGGCCACTCAGGGTGCAGGACCCGGCCAAGGAGGAGGGAGAGGAGCCGAGCCCCGTGGTGGGCCCGGGGCAGAGGAGCAGCAGTGCTTCCTAGGAGTTACATCACACTGAGCAAAGCTGAGGCTCCGGAATTCCCGGGCGCAGAGTGCAGGGAGGGGGCGGGGAGGGGGACACGGTGCGCGCGTGTTTGTGTGTGTGTGTGTGTGCGTGCGTGTGTGTGTGTGTGTGTGTGTGTGTGTGTGTGGGGGAGGGGACTTAGACCGAACCCGGGACAGAGGCTGTTGAGATGCGTCCCGGGGAGACCCTCAGTGCACATGGAGAAATTTCTGGCTCAGAATTGCAGGGAGAAAAAGAACCCACAGCATCTCTCGGCTGCTCCCTTCCCAGCGCAAAGCACCTAGCTAGTGAAAAGCAATCCTTCCCCGCCCCCCCCCCAGCTCCACCTCGAACACCCCCCAAAACCAGCCCTTGCATCCTGCAAGCCGGCTCCAGCGCCGCGGCAAGCTTTCCCTGGGACTGGCCCTGGCGGGGCGCCTAGAGCCCCAGTTGCATTGCTCCAGGAGAAAGGAGGGGGGCGGTGCATTTTGCAGGAGGAGGAGAAGGGGGGTGGGTGGTGGGGGAGAGAGAAAATTGCGCGGAGACCTGCCAAGCGCCACCGCCGCCGCCACCGCCGCTGCCGCCGCCGCCGCCGTCGCCGCCGCCGCCTGGGAGCTCCGGCGGGCAGCCGGGCTGTCGGCTTCCCGGGGCATCTGGGTCCGGCGGGGCACAGCCCTGGGCGCTGCCGAAGCCGCCGCCGCCTCCGCGGCGAGTGCAGGCGGCTTCCCCCCCAAGCCAGTGCCGCTCCAGCTCCTCGGGGGTGGAGAAGTGGGGGGTGGGGTTGTTGTTTGGGGGGAAGAAGGGGGAGGGGGCAACGCCGAGAGAGTCAGTGGTTTCCATGGTGATGGAGCTGAAAGTGCAGGAAATTTAAAGGCTTGGACCCTGCGAGACAGACAAACCGGTGCCAACGTGCGCGGACGCCGCCGCCGCCGCCGCTGCTGGAGTCCGCCGGGCAGAGCCGGCCGCCGAGCCCCGAGCAGGCGGAGGGAAGTGCCCCAGGAGCCGCTCAGCCTGCGGCGCTGCGCACAGCCGCCCGGCTAGGAGCTGCGAGAGCAGGAGGAGGAGGAGGGGAGAGCAGCTCGTCCACGCGCCCTGCGCCGCCGCCAGCCGGGCCAAAGCAGCGCGGAGCCGGCGTCCCCGGAGTCCCAGCGGCAGCCCTGGAGTCCTCTCGGATGCCCCGCCGCGGTCGCCGTCCCGAGTAGAGCGCGGAGAGGAGTTGAAGCCAACTTGCTTGCCTTTTTTTTTTTTTTTTTTTAACCGCCCCGGTGGGAGCCGGCGCTGCACGAAGAGCTCTCCCCGCAGCTCATGCTGCCCGCCCTACGCCTGCCCAGCCTCGGGTGAGCCGCCTCCAGGAGGGACGGGGGAGTGCGGCGGCGCCGCGGGCTCGGGGTGCTCTCCTCCGGGGACGCGGGACGAAGCAGCAGCCCCGGGGCGCGCACCGGAGGCATGGAGCGCTGCCCCAGCCTGGGGGTCACTCTCTACGCCCTGGTGGTGGTCCTGGGGTTGCGGGCGGCACCGGCCGGCGGCCAGCACTACCTCCACATCCGCCCGGCTCCCAGCGACAACCTGCCCCTTGTGGACCTCATCGAACACCCGGATCCTATCTTTGACCCCAAGGAGAAGGATCTGAACGAGACGCTGCTGCGCTCCCTGCTCGGGGGCCACTACGACCCGGGCTTCATGGCCACCTCGCCCCCCGAAGACAGGCCCGGTGGGGGCGGCGGCGGGACGGCTGGGGGCGCCGAGGACCTGGCCGAGCTGGACCAGCTGCTGCGGCAGCGGCCGTCGGGGGCCATGCCGAGCGAGATCAAAGGGCTGGAGTTCTCCGAGGGCTTGGCCCAGGGCAAGAAGCCTCGCCTCAGCAAGAAGCTGCGGAGGAAGTTACAGATGTGGCTGTGGTCGCAGACCTTCTGTCCTGTGCTGTACGCGTGGAACGACCTGGGCAGCCGCTTCTGGCCGCGCTACGTGAAGGTGGGCAGCTGCTTCAGCAAGCGCTCGTGTTCCGTGCCCGAAGGCATGGTGTGCAAGCCGGCCAAGTCCGTGCACCTCACGGTGCTGCGGTGGCGCTGTCAGAGGCGCGGGGGCCAGCGCTGCGGCTGGATTCCCATCCAGTACCCCATCATTTCTGAGTGCAAGTGCTCCTGCTAGAACTCCGGCACCCCAGCCCGCACCGGGACACTTGGCGCGAACCCCTCCGACACCCCCCCACACATCGCCTCCAACCAGTTCCACCACCCTCTGGCGAGGGTTTTCAATGAACTTTTTTTTTCCTACAGAGACCTAGCCTTCTGGTTCATGTAATGCACTGTTTAACTGTGTAGGAATGTATATGTGTATATATATGGTCCCAGTTTTAATTTACTTATTAAAAGGTCAGTATTATACGTTAAAAGTTACCGGCTTCTACTGTATTTTTAAAGAAAAATAAGCAAAAGGAAAAAAAAGAACAGAGAAAAGAGACTTATTCTGGTTGTTGCTGACAATGTTAACCTGCTATTTATATTCCAGTGCCCTTCGCATAGCGAAGCAAGGGGGGGGAGTTTTTTTTTTTTTCTTCAAATACAAAGAGTGGGGAGAACTTTTGTAGAAGGACTTTTTAAAAGCTATTTTCCATTCTTCGGAAAGTGTTTTGGTTTTTCCTTGGACCTCGAAGAAGCTATAGAGTTCAATGTTATTTTACAGTTATTGTAAATATAGAGAACAAATGGAATGACTAATCATTGTAAATTAAGAGTATCTGCTATTTATTCTTTATAATATCCCGTGTAGTAAATGAGAAAGAAGTGCGGAGCAGGATTAAAGAAAACCACTAAAACCGACTGTGCTCCACACTGCCATTCTCTGTGTTGGTGATTGATGGGGGAGTGGGGGGACGGGTGAGGGCGGGCAGGGGGATGCCGCCGTGCCCACCACGCCTGTGGAAGGGCTCATCTCCTACTCTGGCTATGATGGAAGTGACTGCTGAGGGTTTTGGGGGGGGGGGGGTGAGGAGGTGCGTGTGCGTTATCCCCAAACCCCTCTTCAACATCACGTGGCCTCCAGGCTGTCTCCCAGCTTTTTTTTTTTTCCTCCCCCGGTGTCACCAAAGCTGGGGCCGTAGTGACCTCGACACCCAGCCGGCCCCCTGGAGCTGACCCCAGGCTGGGCCGCAGGGCGGGGGGAGGGTGGGCGGCCGCTTTGTCCTGCCTGACAGGCCCTTCACAATGGGGACACGTGTCTTTCACACCTACCCTGGGGGCGGAGTGCCGCTGAAACTTGACCCCCGAGGGACGGGGCGGGGGTGGGGGGGAGAGGAGGGAGATCAGAGAGCGCCCACCCAGATCCCGCTGCCCTCCGCCTTGCACCCCCCACCTCAATATCCAGCCTCTGTTAACCCTTTGCACGCCCGGAAGCTACGGTGGTGCGAGCGGCTGAGAGGATCTCTCGGGATCGTGCAGGTCCGAGCTCCCGGAATCCCAGGCGCTGGGCGAGAGTTATGGGGAGTAGAGGCGGAGGTCCGGAGAAGTGACTGGGGAATTTGACATTCAACGTCCTCCTTCTCCTCTGGGACCCAAGCAAGACGTCAAGGTCCTGGGTTTTTCGGGTTTGGGTAAAACTCTCCACTTGGGGTGGGATCCGCCAGTGGGAAGGGGTACGCCCACTCCATCCCCCCCCCCCCAGCTCTGGATATTAAATCCGCTGAGGGCGGGGCGGAGCCGGGTGTGGAATCTCTCTCTAAGGAGAATGGGGCCGAGGGCGTGTCACCCCCTCCAGGGAACATGCCCGGCATCACGCCCGCCAGAGCCTGGGGCCCGGCCCGGGGCGTCCGTGCTCGCCGCTCCACGCGCGCCCGCTTCCTGACACCGCTCAGCGCGCCCTTTATTTCTCTTGGACTCCGGAGTGGCTCTCGGCGGCGCCCTCCCGGCCACCCTGCCACCTCCGCGCCGCCCTCCCCGGCGGCCCGCCCCCGCGCGTCCCCGAGAATCTATGCTAATTATTTCAAACGTGCGCCGGGTCCCCCGCCCGCCCCTGCCCCGCCGCCCGGCGCTTTCTTCCCTCCCGACGCAGCCTCGGTGGCTCCTGGTTTCAATAGCCTGGCCCCGGAGCCCGAGCCCCCTCCCCGGCGCTGCCTGCGCCGGCCGTGGGACAGACGTCAGGGTATTCATTAACTGAGAGCCGAGGAATAACGGCATTATTTCCCCCGGAGAGGGCACCCTGCCCCCGCGACTATCTGAGGCTTCATTGTAAACGGATTAAAAGTTAAAGACCTCCATCTTATGATTCTTTCATTTAATCTTCCTGGCGCCTGGGAGACATGCTCGATGGATGATGGCTTTTAAAATATTCCTAATGTCGGCTACCTTAAGACTCCAAGCCCGGCAAACAAACGTAATTTATTTCCAGAAGAAAGGGGATATTGAGATAGTTTAAGTTTATGAACTGCCGGCCTCTGGGTCTATCTGTGAGGTTCTGACAAATGCCCAAATAACGTTAAAATCAGCCATTCATCACTTATGAATTTATGCAAAACTTTCTGTGCCCCGGGCCAATATTTTTTTAGACAGTTTCACTCGCGAGGGGCGGAGGCAGTGGGGAGTGGGAAAGAGGAGGGGGCTCATGGGATGGGGTGGAGTGGTAGTCGGGGGGTGCTCGGGTGGTGGTGGGGGGCGAGCCGAAAGCAAGAATTTTCATGCCTGGTAAACACGCGAATTATGCGAAGAGAGTTATTCCCAGCTGGGCGGGCAGCCAGAACTCGGAGAGCGCGCCGGGGCCAGCGCCCCCGCCCCCACGTTGGCAATGTCATTGGATTACAATGCGAGGTCTTCCCTCCGCGACGCCCCCTCCTCGCAGCGCTGGCTGGCCCGCCTGCGCCCCTCCTCCCCGCCCCAGCTCACTTGGAAAACCCGCTCGCAGCCGGCAGGCGTCTCGACTTTCAGAGAGAGCGAGCTGGGGAGAGCCAGGAGGACCCAGGCTGCGGTAGACAGACCGTGGGTCACACAGACCCCAAGGGCAGGCCCGGCGTCGCTCGCATCGGGGCACTCAGAGGGCTCAACAAGACCTGGGCGATCCTAAGCGGAAGGAGAGTGCCTGTCCAGGAAACGCTGTGCGCGCGACAATGCACAGCAGGTTACATCTCAGTTATTCTTAATGTGGGTAATGCTAATAATAGCTTAGAGGAAGGAGGCAAGAAAAATTGTCCTCTGCGGTGGCCTATCTCCTGCAAGGAACACAGTTGATCTGGTGCCCTGTGGCTTTGACAGCCTTTGGCTGTGAGTTTATGCAGGTGCCAGGACACCACCGACACACATTCACCCCTTCTCTCTAGCCCAAGGTGAGGACTGTAACTACTGCAGGTTACACACACACACACACACACACACACACACACACACACACACACACACACACGCGTTTCTCAAACCCTAGAAGGAATGACAAGATCTATACCACCTCCTGTCATGACTGCAAGAATTCACTCATCAACCTTCTATGTGTAACTCCCCTTCACTCCTTCATTCCTCACTGTACACACACGGTACACACGGAAACAGACAGAGGCCCAATGTCCACAGAAAGCCAGCCCTCAATAGAAGGCCCTCTGGTCCCCCGAGTCTGGGAACAGGATCCGGTTCCCTGTTGAGATCCAGAAGGCCAGGGGTCCATTATCAGTCTTGCTTCTGAGACTCCTGGGAAAGGGGGTTGAAGTTTGGTGGCAGCTGCAGGGGGAAGCTGGCTGCGTATTAAGAGCTCTTAGCTGTGCTTGTTGGGGACAGCAGGGGGAGGGCCCAGCCCATATTGGTATTTTGAAGGGGGTGATTCATCCCTTTTCTTTAATGCTCTTGGAATGTCAGCACTGGAGAGGAGCTTAGATTCCAATGCCCACCACCCAATTATTTACCGATAAGACTGAGACCTCCTCAGCCACTTGCTGAAGAGCTCATGGATGCATGTAGTTGAGTTGGCTAGCTGGTCTCTCTCCTTTGTGCCTCTGCTGTTTTCTCTTTGTTCTTGTTGGTAAGTGGTGGGAACGAGTTCTCCCCAAAGCTGACATTGAAACAACTGACCATCAGCAAGCTCCTCGGCCATTCTGTGATGGCTTCGCAGAAGGTGTTCGTTAACGGTTTCTGATGTGCCCAGAATTTGTATGTATTTTCTCTTTCAGGTTCTCTATATTTCCAAATAAAGAAGCTGCAGCTCAGAGTTTGAGCATTTTGCCCGGAGTCACACAGTAAGTGGTACAGTTACAGTTCAAAATCTGAGCTGACACCAAATTCTATTTTTTTCCCCCTAAATTCTGCGCTTTCCTGGAAGGACTAAAAAAAACCTGGCTTCTGAGAGAATGCATGCCACACTGTGTGCTGCCAGGGCTCAGCAAATATCCTGTAGGGGATTCTGCCTGGGAAGCCATGTAAAACATCTGTGTGTTCCCTATCTGTAAGGCACCTATGCTTTCCTCTACACACCGTGCACACACCAGGAGGTAAGAAATAAACAACACAGTCAATGATGAAAGAGGAACCAATCCATCAAACAAACCTGGGCCAGCAAGAGGGGGGTTCATTGCTGCAGTGGGAGGCTAGGTGCCTGGCTGGAATCTCCAAGGACAAGTTGAATGTCAACCCACTGAAGTGAGGATGGGGGAGAAAACAGCTTTTGGTTGGGAAAAACAGTACAGGTAAGTATAGGCATGGTGTTGGAAAAGTGGGTATATGAGAAATCCCTGAAAAGTTAGCGTAGGGTGATCCTGTGCTAACACAGGCTGAAAACGAGGCTGAAGCCAAATCATGAAGGGCCTTGAGTGCCAGCTAAGAGCACTAAACTGTTTCCCAAGTCATAGGGAGCCGCTGAGAGCTCGTGAATAGGGCATGGGCCCCATTAGAACGAGACTAGAAAAGGGATGATTTAGCCAGTAAACATTTCAGGATTATCTGTAGCCATATAGCAAGCTATCCCAAAATGAGGACTCTTACTACTTACAACAAGTGTTCTGTTTTGCCCATGATTCTGGAGTCAGGAATTTGGGATTGGCCCCACTGGGTAGTTCATTTATTATACTCATAGTGTCAGCTGAGAGCTGGGAGCTGGGGGATCCACTTCCAAAATGGCTTCTAACACCTGCTTGTCAGCTGGGAGTTCAGCTGACATGTTAACCACAGCCCCTGAAAGTGACTCTTTCTTGTGACTCAGGTTGTTTGTTTTCTTTTTATTAAGATTTATTTATTTTTATTGGAAAGAGATGTACAAAAGAAAAGGAAAGACAGAAGGATCTTCCATCCACTGGTTCACTCCCCGAGTGGCTGCAACAGCCAGAGCTGAGCTGATCCAAAGCCAAGAACCAGGATTCTCCCATGTGGGTACTGAGTCCCTAGACCTGGAGCCGTCCTCTACTGTTTTCCCAGGCCACAAGCAGGG